ATTAAGATTAACGGAAAAAAAGAAAAAAAAAAAAAAAAAAAAAAAAAAAGAATAGTATATACTCTCTATTTCAAAGCATCACAGAGTCATTGGTGGGGGGCTATTTGACTGTTTATTCTGAAGAAAGTGGGGGTTATCGCTCAAAGATAAGACCATAACCCCAAAACACACACATCATTATTATATTCATTATAAGCACGTGTTATAAAATGGCCCTGAGTGTCAAATCACCAAAATAAAAAAAAGAAAAAAAAAAAAAAAAAAGATAAAAAAAGGACAACACAATCTCCAACCTTCGAGCCTAGTAGGACTCTCCGAGGTAAGGGGAACCGTCTCCCTGCCCCGAAAGCGACCCACGTATCTGCCCCAAGACTGGACATTGGTCAACAATTCTTTACATCCGAGTGGGAAGGTGTTTCGCTCTCACTCGTAGCAGAAGAAGCGGCAGTATCGCCAGCCAGCCCCCCCTTTGGCCCTGAATTGAGACGCATTTTGAGAGAGGAGCTATGTGACATTCATCTATAAAACGTTATTTTGAGTGGATAGTGTGTGCAATGTAAGGGCTGTGATTTTCTAAACAGGGTGAGAGAAAAAAATTAATAAATAAATAAAAATTTTGAAAATTCCTTCACCAACCTCATTCAAAAAAATACAAATCCAATATTTAACTATATTGAAAAAAATAATTAATAATTCTTTTTAATCATAGTGTGCTCTACCCAAGTTTAAACAATTTTTCTTCTTTTCGTTCCTTCCCTTGAAAGTAATACATATATATCTAGTTCTTCTCATTAATGAATTTCTTCTACCTTCCAACCTTAAAGACATATTAACTTATAATGCATAGATAAGTATTTCTTTGAGTCATCATCATCATCACCTCTCAAGCTATCACACTCCACCTCAAGAATACGCCTCACACAAGGGCACCTAAGGTTTATTCGAATATGAGAGAGGCTGCAGCGTACGACACGGAAGAATCAGATGAAGTGTAGCATTGCGAAGACTGGGCATATTGCAGAAATTTGAGCAACATGCGGTGGCCATTGCTTGTCTTTTGGAGAGTTGCAACCGCCTGGAGAATGAATAACTTGATTATAGCATCATATATATATATATATATATATATATATATAATATATATATATATATATATATATATATATATATATATATTATATATATAATATATACCTTTCACTATTAATTTCCATAAAAAATACTGAAAAGCAAGAACAATAATAAAATAAATCCTACGCACATAATATAAAAATAATACAGTTTTTACAATGTCTGATCAGAAGCTTGGCAAATTCAAAACATCACATATAATCCATATTTATTAGAGTGAGATTTTATTTCCTCTTTGAGTATGCATTACTGTTTTCTTCACTTATGTAATGATTTACATATCATACACTCTCAAAACAT